GATTGAGGGAAGCAAAACAGTCTAAACATGTATCTAGTACTACAGCTGTTTCTAAGGTTCCTGAGTTTAGAGATAAGTTGGTGCCAGTTGAGGGCAGGTCTTGGTGAATTTTGTCTCCAATAGCTAGAATTTTATTATTAAAGAAGCTCATGAAGTCGTAACTACTGAGAGCTATGGGAATACTTGGCTCAATAGAGCTGTGACTCTCTGTCAGCCTGGCTACAGTGCTGAAAAGAAACCTGGGGTTGTTCCTATTTTCCTCTATTAATGACGAGTAGTACGCTGCTCTGGCATTACGGAGGGCCTTCCTATAAGTTTTAAGACTATCTTGCCAAATTAAACGAGAATTTTCCACTTTGGTGGAACGCCAATTCCTCTCAAGTTTCCGTGATATTTGCTTTAATTTGCGAGTTTCAGTATTATAGCATGGAGCTAACCGTCTTTGTTTTAGTATTTTCTTTTTTAGAGGGGCTACAGAGTCGAGTGTCATTCGCAGCGAGCCTGCAGCACTATCAACATGATGATCGATTTGGGAGGGACTGAAATTAGCATAGGAGTCCTCCGTTACTTTGTGACTTGATAATGAATTTAGAGCTGATGGAATCGCATCCTTAAATTTAGCTACAGCTCTATCAGACAGACATCTTGTATAGAAATTTTTGCCCAATGGCGAGTAGTTCAGCAATACAAACTCAAAAGTTATCAAACAGTGGTCGGACAAAGAGGGATTCTGTGGGAACCCCACGAAATGTTCAATTTCAATACCATACACCAAAACAAGGTGGAGGGTAAATGCTCCGTACTTGTATAGCGCCTTTCTAGTCTTTTCGACCACTCAAAGTGCTTTTACACTACATCTGCATTCACCAGTCACTCACATTCATACACTGAGCCTAAGTGCTCAAACGGAAACTAACATTCACACTCATTCATACACTGGCGGAACAGCCGCCAGGGGCAATTCGGGGTTCAGTATCTTGCCCAAGGACACTTCGACACGCAACCAGGGGGAGCCAGGCATTGAACCGCCGACCTTCCAATTAACGGCCAACCCGCTCTACCTCCTGAGCCACAGCCACAGCCGCCCCTGATTTTGGATTGAACCACCTCCCTTCCAAATACCGTGCAACCAGTTCTACCACCTGAGCCACAGCCGCCCCGTTACGCAGTCAGTTGTGATGAAACAAAATGTTGCTGCAGCAAGGTATTGTGGGACAGTGTTACCTCCAGTGTCCCCTGTGCTAAAGGAGGTATGACAGGAAGCCCTGCAGCACCTTTACTTAGAATTTACAGAACTCCACTACAAAATTCTGAATTTGAAATAAATCACAGGTAAGACAAATTGGACTGGCCTTGTCTCCATAGCAATGGTGGCTGAGGATCATGGGTAACATAGGCCTCTGCTCTCCGACACTGACAAAAATAACTAGTGCTATTCTGACAGTGCTGCAGTGAGCCTCCAGCTTGCAGAAGCACATAGATCATGTGTGAAATCGGGAACCCATTGTATATCTACTGTAAAGGAAGTGGGACGCTGGCGAGGAGGAAGCGGGAGCGACCGGCCGCCCTGTGGACAGTCTGCGATCATTCCCTCTAGCTGGATGAAGCCACACTCCAGACTTATGCATGATTCATGGTGATACAGAAAAATAAAAATGAATGGCAAAATTAGCATAGTGTCAATATTTTAGAGACTCCCAAAATATCACAAATCATGTTTTCAGGGGAGCTCATGACCTGAGGAGCCAAAGCTCCCCTGTAGTTCGCACCCAGGCTGAAGCCTCGAGAAAAAACCCTCGGTAAACATGTTCGGGTATTTTCTTAGATTGCTGAAGTAACCAGCTGCTTCAGATCAGATAAAAACAAAATGCTACCCAGATGCTGACGTACTTAATCAGTAGTTGACTGGAAATAGGAGAATCCTGAGGGTTTAAGTGGCTCGCTAGTAAAGCAACGCACCTCAATGAGGAATTGTTTTTGCTCTAGTCAGTTCGAACCCAGCTTCACACGATCTTGCAGAAAAAGTAGCCTACATTTACTTTCATATCTTTTTTTGTATGTGGCTATATTATAGTGCTCACTTCTACAATCATATTCGCCACAGTCACTATGAGATGTGACTTGAAAGGAAATAGCCTAAAATAAAGCTGCGAGTGGCAACGATCGGGATCCAAGCAAGTAAAAAAAATGCAACATTTGACTTTTTCCGAGGAGAAGAACAGACACAGAAGACTTAAGAGATTAAAGTGATGACAGAATTTGGACTTTCAGATAACTGTGGAAACTTGATTTTTACAGCCTCACCTTGAGATCAGAGTCATTATATGTACCTGACTGCACATGTTCAACACACCTGACACATTTTGTGTTTACAAGGTTTAAAGTTTAAGCTGCACAAACACTTTTGGGCAGAGAAAAATATTAAGTGTCCAAATGAAGACCGTGGATTCACTAAGATCTGAACAACCCTTATTGTCAGCAAGTCTGACTGGGTCACCTGAGGGTTTGAACCCTGGACCTGCAGATCTCAAGAGTAGGTGACTTACTGACTGAGCTGCTGGTGAGAGGCTGCAGTTAATCACCTTCGTGACGTCACATGTGCCACAGCCGGATAGTTTTGTCAGTTTAAACTTAAAACGCTTACAACTGTCAAGATGTTGGTGAAAAAAATCTAAAAAAAATCACACATCATTCTGCTGGTTTTGGGTGTGTTGTGAATTTTGTTTTGGTGACATTTGATCCAAAACTGAGTTAAAAAGAAAATTTTGTGTTTACTGTACAAGTTACAGCAAGATACTGAATATCTCTGCAGACTCACCGTTGGACCGATCTGAAAACCCTTTGAGACACTTGATATCGGCCATCAGGAGAACGACTCTGTCGAGTTTGGTAGCATTTGAAGAAAGACTTGTGGAGATATAGATGTTAATTGAATTAGCATATTCTGAAAAATATAGAGTGACTTCTGAATTGACTACAGGTTGCAGTGAAGCAAACGTTAGTCACAAATCAGTGGATGTGCTGAAAAAAATTCAGAATTTCGAAATTTCATACGAATCCATGCAGCAAATTACGAGGTATAAACTTTTTGCAAGTCTAGCGCCACCTGGTGGAATAATATCCCAGGACTGCTCAGCGAAGCTCGGCCCGAGCATCTGGACAGACGCGTCGAGTTTGGTTACAATAACTTAAGCCAATTTTAATTTGCGGGCATTTATGTAAAATGGTACCTTTATACAAAAAAGTAAAAATGTATGAAAAAAAAGAATTGATTAAAAATCTTTTGATAACTTTAGATCAGCGACGTCCGTACACGATCCTGCCAAAGGTCGATTGGTGACACTGTCTGGGACGAGTTGGCAAAAATAGGTTTTAGAGAAAAGTGATATAAAGTTGTATGATTCGACATTTTTAGAGCAGAAGATGGAGCAAAGATGCAGATGAGTCCAGAGATGAAAATGACAATAGAAGGTCGACTCTAAATGAAGCCGTTTTCAAGATAATTGCAAAAACGCAAAGTTGATTGTTATAGCGCCACCATGAGGTCTATGAGGGCCTTTTCTTTTACCTGAGTAGTGAGTGGAATTTGCAACCTACGTGCCAATTTTGGTGAGTTTTCATACATCAGTTTTTGCTGCCCAAACACTTTTAGCCGAGAAAAAAAAAGAAAACAAAAAAAAGAAAGAAAGAAGAATAATCAGAACAAAAACAACAGGGCTATGATGTGAGTGACCAATCTGGGGACGGAGGCAGACCACAGCAACACAAACAACATGTGTACAGTTCACACAAATCTGCATTTTAAGTTTCACTAAGCTTTAAAGAGGGTTACTGAGATTGTAAAACACTTGTATAGTGTGAATATGTACTGTAGCCCTGCTGCTGCTACTGCTTCTGACGCACAAAGACAAGTTTAGATTCAACAGGAAGCTGCCGCGCCTTCAAAATAAAAGCCTTTCCAGGAACAGACGCTCCAACATTTTGTAGCTCGACTGTAAAAATGCAGAGCACCGAGCATGCAGACATTCAGCTCAATACAGCAAACCAATCCAGAAGATATATTGACATTTAAACATGTTCTATGGGGTCCATTAATGGACATATTACCAGTTGTAAAACAAATAATATCACAGCCTGCAGATACAAATAAACATGCACCATCCTAGTGTGTGAAATTGTTCAAATAAAAGTTTTGCTGCTGTTTTTGAGCAGGACTCCCAAACAACTGTACAACAATTTAGTTTTCGATGGAAGATTTTATTGGACTTTATTGTTTTTAACCCACAGAAAACAGTGAGTGACTTCTACACACAAAACAGTTTTGGGGATTTGCAGATTGCTTTCTGTCACTTTGTGGGTCATGTTACATTTGTAATTTACTTTTTATGCATTTGTAAAGTTTTGTGTGTGCTGCGGAGATCTTTGAAAAAATATATATACACAAATATTTCACTACCCAAAACATATATATTTACATTTGTGTTGTGTAAAATATTGTCCACGAAAATACAGTGCGATTTGCCAAAGTTTTTGAAGTCTGTGTTTTTGTGTTAATTTGCTACATGTGGGTTTCTGTTGTTGGTTCTCTATCAGGACCAGTTCTGTTACCCCAGGGTGGACCTAATGCAGAGGCAGGAGGAGGATATGTGTAAGATCCGCCACACCGGCCTCCTCCATGTTTGCCTCCAGATCCTGATGCTGTGTCTCTTGCTGCCTCAGATGATCTAGATCAGACCGGCAGCTCTGGCTCCTCTGGGCAGGTGGAAGCTTATGATGAGGGAGATGAGTCTTACTAAGAAAAGGTGCAATATGACCTCTGTCTCCAGAGGAAATGAGACAGGAGTTCTTACTCCAGTTATTTCCTCATACCCAAGAGGACTGGAGGTCCCGCCCAATTCTAGATTTTCACTGGCTGAACAAGTATCTCAAGGTCCTCCCCTTCAGATGCTCAGGTTGGGGCTCTGTTTCAGGCCATAAAGGCAGCTGATTGGTTCGAGACCTTTGGGATACTTTGTTTTTATTTGCCAAAGCTTAAAAACCTACACAGCCAGAAACACTTTGAGATAGAAGAGAATAAAAAGAGTAAAGAAAGCAAACTTCTGGAGCAACGTGTCAGACAAAGCTCTCCAGCAGCGTCTCCATAAGAGCAGATGGTAGAAACTCTCATGTCCACGTTAAAGACAGCTGCTGTCACTGTGTTCACAGCTCAGAAGGCGTGCTCAGCGGTGACATCAGCAGCGATGTCATCGCTTCCTCCGACCCGCCGGGTCATCTCCGTGGAGACGGCCGCTCGGTTTCCCGTCTTCCTGCCGCAGCAGATGGACAGCATCAGACCAGTAGAGACGCAGTACGGACAGAAGACCACTAGATGGCAGCAGAGTCTGAGCACAGACAGAGAGGAGGCTGACGGAGGAGAACAAGAATCACAGTCAGCTTTGTTGACAAGTAGGTTTGCCAAGGCTGGAAAATTGTCTTTGGTCTCACCAGACCTATATAAACATCACTATACAAACATGGACACATATAAACATCATATCACATCCCACCACTGCAGATTAACCCATACACACTGTGTACAATCTACTTTCTGTACAGAAAAATACCAATTAGTGCAGTTTATTCATTACATTTATTGCACTATAAAAGATAGCTTATAAATATTCCTTTTTGCCAGAGGTACTCTGTATCTGTCCTGAAGGGAGCAGCTCAAACTCACTATGGAGGCGGTGTTTATTGTCACCAATGATGCTCAAGTGTGGGTCTCTGCATGAGACAAAGGAAATGTCCCAATCTGTGGTTTCAAAACAGCTCCTTAGCTTGTCCTCACTCTCTCTGTCCCACACCTTAATTGTCTTGACAATGGGCTTTTCCCTTTTCATGCGTTGTCTGTACTTCAGCAATAAATGAATGACATTATGGTCTGATTTACCAATGGGAGGTCTGCAGATTGCCTTATATGCATCCTCGATATTGCCATAACATAAGTCAAGAATGCGTGATTAGCGGGTTGGACAGTTAACATATTGTTGTAACATTGGGAGACGTATTGTTAAAGACAGTATATTAAAGTCCAAGAATAAACACAGGTTGATCAGCTGATCTTCAGAGCACGGTGTTCAAACTGTCAGATATGCACTCAGCTGAATGCACTAAAATAATTGTGAGCTGCCCACATTTGCAGGGTAAATAAAAGTGTCTAAAAGATCCCACCAGGATCTCATAGTCTCTTGTGCATGTCCGTTTTATTTATTTAACGGGGACAATGCACAATACTGTACCAGATTTAGCTAAAAGCTAATTCCCATCTGCAGTCCCTGGGCAAGTGTGAATAGCGTGCAAAATATTACAAACAAAATATACACAACAGTCCCCTCTAAAGGAAGCTCTTGTTAACCTTCAGCCCGCTCTGCTTATTGTTACATACTGTTTGAGAGGTTGTGGTGCTAAGTCATAAATGATCTTATATACTAACCCAACATTGGACATAAACAGCAAGTTTTCAAAAGTCAACAGGTTATGTTTTTTTGACTATATTACAATAATGATGAGAATTAGGCTTTTTATCCATGACTTTCAATGCTTGTTTATACAGACTCTGAAGTGGTTGCATTAATGTACTACTTGTTTGAGACCAGGTTGTGCTACAGTATGAAAAATGTGACAGTATCATTGCATGCATGTACAGTTTTGCTGCATCTGTACTCATTTGATTTCTTATAAATCTGAAATGAGCCAGATTATACTTTACTGTTTTTGAAATTTTTGTAATATGTTTTTTGAAGGTTAGACCACTATCAATAATTACACCTAAATTTTTAACTTGCTGCTCCTTAATACTAATCTCAGGAGGAGTGCAATTACTTCCTGTAATGGAGAAATGCATACTAACCGACTTGGATAAATTTAGTGTCAAACAGGAATATGTCATCCAGTCTGCAATTTTCTCCATAGCTCCTGTGAGTAGAGATGCAGCTTGCTGTTAAAATTTAGCTTGGACATAAACAACTGTATCATCTGCATACATTTGAATATGAACTTCTGGACAGGTGGATGGTAGATCATTTATATAGATAATGAATAAAAGAGGGCCTAAAACTGAACCTTGAGCAACACCAGTAGGACAATCTAAGAATGCAGAGGTTGTTCCTTTAATTCTTGTACAATGTTGTCTATTACGCAAATATGAAGCCATCCATTCAATAGCATTTGCTGAGACATTATGAGCTGGTAATTTAGATAACAGCCCTTTATGATTGACTGTATCGAATGCCTTTCTATAAAGATGGCTCCTACCATCTCTCCTTTATCCAACATGCCTTTTAACTGTTCCACAAAATAACAGAGGGCTGTCTCTGTTGTTTCGGTCTAAACCCAAACTGCATTTCGTTCAAAGAATGATGATCCCAAGATCAGATGGTTAATTAGCTGTTTGGTCACAACTTTTTCAATTACCTTAGATGTTATAGGAAGGATACTAACTGGTCTGTAGTTGGCAATTTCAGAATGGTCTCCCCCCTGAAAATTGGAGTGATAACTGCAGCTTTTAAACCCTCAGGGAACACAGCTTATCCAAAAGAGTTATTCATAAGCTGAGGAACTGAGGAACAAAAAGTTATAGCATTCCTCTTTATCAAGCAGGAATCCATCCCAAATATATCCTGAGCTGTTGAGTTCTTTAAACCTTTTAAAATATTCATAACTTCTTGTTCACAGACCTCTGTTAAAGAAAAAACAGGGTAGGTAGTATGTGGTGGTATGATATTGATTTTCCTAATCCCAAATTAAATTAACTAAAGCATGAACAGAGTCTTTGAAAAACATATTAAAACACTGCAATTTCATTCTTCTCCTGTGTTAATATATTGTTGATCTTCATCTCATAAGACTTAATACTGTTACTTTTGAGAGAGGTTATTAATGTATTTCCAGAGTAAGTGATTATTTCCTTTAGCCTGTTTAACGAGTTCAATAAAGAAGTTTGCTTTCGCCTTCCTAAGTTAATTTACTACTTTGTTACGGTAGTCTTTAAAGAGACGCATATCAGAATCAATGCCAGATTTTAAGTGCATCCTGCATCCCTCCCTCCCAACCCTTTCTCTGTCCTGCCTCCTGATCTCCTTCCTCCTCTCCATGGGTTTATAGGGGGTCCGTCGAGCCCGGTGCTACGGCGGATTTCCCTATCGTAGCTGAATAGACATTAGAAAGCGTTGTGGGGAAGCTACGATAGGGAAATCCGCCGTAGCACCGGGCTCGACGGACCCCCTATAAACCCATGGAGAGGAGGAAGGAGATCAGGAGGCAGGACAGAGAAAGGGTTGGGAGGGAGGGATGCAGGATGCACTTAAAATCTGGCATTGATTCTGATATGCGTCTCTTTAAAGACTACCGTAACAAAGTAGTAAATTAACTTAGGAAGGCGAAAGCAAACTTCTTTATTGAACTCGTTAAACAGGCTAAAGGAAATAATCACTTACTCTGGAAATACATTAATAACCTCTCTCAAAAGTAACAGTATTAAGTCTTATGAGATGAAGATCAACAATATATTAACACAGGAGAAGAATGAAATTGCAGTGTTTTAATATGTTTTTCAAAGACTCTGTTCATGCTTTAGTTAATTTAATTTGGGATTAGGAAAATCAATATCATACCACCACATACTACCTACCCTGTTTTTCTTTAACAGAGGTCTGTGAACAAGAAGTTATGAATATTTTAAAAGGTTTAAAGAACTCAACAGCTCAGGATATATTTGGGATGGATTCCTGCTTGATAAAGAGGAATGCTATAACTTTTTGTTCCTCAGTTCCTCAGCTTATGAATAACTCTTTTGGATAAGCTGTGTTCCCTGAGGGTTTAAAAGCTGCAGTTATCACTCCAATTTTCAGGGGGGGAGACCATTCTGAAATTGCCAACTACAGACCAGTTAGTATCCTTCCTATAACATCTAAGGTAATTGAAAAAGTTGTGACCAAACAGCTAATTAACCATCTGATCTTGGGATCATCATTCTTTGAACGAAATGCAGTTTGGGTTTAGACCGAAACAACAGAGACAGCCCTCTGTTATTTTGTGGAACAGTTAAAAGGCATGTTGGATAAAGGAGAGATGGTAGGAGCCATCTTTATAGAAAGGCATTCGATACAGTCAATCATAAAGGGCTGTTATCTAAATTACCAGCTCATAATGTCTCAGCAAATGCTATTGAATGGATGGCTTCATATTTGCGTAATAGACAACATTGTACAAGAATTAAAGGAACAACCTCTGCATTCTTAGATTGTCCTACTGGTGTTGCTCAAGGTTCAGTTTTAGGCCCTCTTTTATTCATTATCTATATAAATGATCTACCATCCACCTGTCCAGAAGTTCATATTCCCTATTGCAGCTTCCCCACAACGCTTTCTAATGTCTATTCAGCTACTGCAAGCTTCATGCATCTTCTGTTCGTTACTCAATAAATCATTTAATCATACCCGTTGATTGTGGTCCTTGCTAGTGAATGCCTTTTTGAGTAGATGGTCTCTTTTCTTCATCAAATTCCAAATATGTTCTGTCAACCAAGGTAGGTTTATATTTTTATGTCTATCATCTATTTTCTTAATAAACGTATCCTTAACATTGTTGACAGTATCTATAAAAGCCTTACAAAATACATTTGTTTCTTCTCTGCCAGTTAACCTATCCCAATCAGTTTTTCAGTTCTGTATCAAATTTGGACAAGTCTTTCTTTGGTATTCTAAAGGAAGAATCAGTCGTGTGTTGACTTAAAATAAATCTTTTCTTTCTTACATAAGTAACCCACCACCTTTTCCTTTCTTTCTGTCTTTCCTAAATATACTGTACCCTGGGAAAACAAACGGCGCATGTGAGGATGTTTGTGTTAACCAAGTTTCTGAAAGGCTAGAAAGTCTACGTTTGAGTCTGTGAGGAGTTTCTCCACTTCATCAGTCTTTGAGGCAATGCTTGTTATATTTAAATGTCACCCTTGTAAGCCTCTAGGTTTTGATTGAAGCGTTTGAAAAAATGAAGTGTCATACCTCCGTCGATACGCGTCTGTTTGTAGTTTTGTCCCACACGTGTTCTTCCGCATTGACACATCTTTGCATCTATATCCAAGATCATGTTGCACAAACATTTCACCAATCGCCTCATTACCTCCAGGTCCGATTCTTTGCGCAGGTCCACTCGCAGACGAGGTTTCCCCATTCCATATGTCATCCTTGGTGTTATCGTCACCCATGCTCACCATGCTTGCCTTCTTCACCGCCGAATATTCATTTCTCGATTCCATTAAAAGATCAAGCGATGCCTGCCGAAGTGGAATCTGCCAGTGCACTCTGCTGTATTAAGGCACATTTCACGCTGGATACAAAATTCACTTCTGTCCTCCTTATCGTTGT